CGTCCCCCTCCAAGAGAACGCTCCGTGGCCCTGGATCCCCCTTCAGCCCCACAACCACTCGTGGGCCTCTTACCGCCTCTACTGCTCCAGGTACTGGGGGGGGGTCCTTTCCAGGTGGCTGTTGCTGGTAGAGGGGCTCAGGACAGGCTGGGCAGCTCAGCGGTGGGGGGGCGTTCTCATGACTTCTTTGCTTCCCCCATCAGCTGCCTGATCCTCATCCATCGCTCCCCAGATGTCTGCTCCAAGGTGAATCTCCACACACACCCCTACCTGACTCCCAGGCAACATCTTCCTGTGTACAAGGCCCATCGTTTGCATTTTTTGCCCGGGGGGGGGGCACAGCCTTTCCCACACCCTCTCTGATGGTGGGGAGTCCCTCAATTCTGGACCATGGAGTGGCAGTGCAGGGGGGGGAACACAGCTGGCATTTTATGGACCACACAGGTGGGTGTTTCCCCCCCAAACCCTCACCCCCCCACTGGTGCTGACTGTGGCCACTGAAGCTCCCTGGGGGGGGGGGGGGACGGCGTGTGCTTTCCCAGGTGGGTTCCCTGCCTTCCCACCCAGAGACTTCCGGGGGTGGGGGGAGAAGGGAGACTGGTCCCCAGGCCAGAGCAAGAGCCACCTCAGCCCAGCGGGAAGGTCAGCCAAGGGGCTGCTGGGCCTGGCCCAGAGGAGGGTCAGCTTTCCTGCCTGCTCCGAGGCCTTCCCTCTTCCTTCTCCTCCTCCTCCTCTCAGGACAGGAGAGACCCCGGCAGGGAAGGCAAGATCTTCTTCCTGGCCTTGGTGGCCTTCGTGGTGGCCTCTTGCACGGTAGGTAGCAGGCGCGCATTGGGCACACACCGGGCACACCCTGGGGGCCTGTGCCACACTTGGGATGCTGTGGTCGCTGTTGGGCAGGGCCCTTCCTCACAGCGAAGCAGGCACCTGGAACGGGTTCGGGGCCTCCCTGGGGGAGGCAGTTCTGGCCCCGATTCCCCTCAGAATGAAAAGGAGGCGCAGGCACAGGGCACCGGAGCCCGGAGGCGGCCACAAAGAGTTTCTTCACGACACCACAGAAGACAAACTCCGTTTCATCTGAAAGTTCAGTAAAGAGGCCTTGTGGGCCCTCGAAAACGGTCCGGTTCGAGTTGGAGGGCCCCCCCTTTCCTGGACTTCTTCCGGGGGGGGGCTTGGTTGAAGGAGAGATGGGGCCAAGAGTCCGCTGGGGGTGCTCAGTCGCTCCGTAGCACCCCCTTAGGTGGCCTCCCCTCCCTCATCTGCCCAGCGTCCCTCACGGGCATCCCAAAGAGGTCCTCCAAGACCCCTTTGGGGGGGGGACCTTGTCCCTCCCTCCCCCTGCCCATCCACCCACAGTGGCAAGAGCCTGCTTTTGTGCTGCTTCCTTAATGGGACGATGCTCGGCTGCCCTAAGGGTATTTGGTGGCGTGGGGGGTCTGACCCCACTGTGCCACCCTCCCCACCCCTCCCTCCCCCAGGTCCTGTACTGCAAGGTGAAGGGCTGGCACAGGAAGCAGAGGGGCAGACCCCTGCCCGCGTGGGGGACGGAGAGCTGTGCCCGCAGGAGGCATGCCACCGGCTACTTCCAGCTGGTCTTTCTGGTGTGCTGGATGCCAGGTGGGTGCCCGGGTGGTCTGTGGGGCTGCTGGGGGGGGTGTCTCGGCACCAGGGGGGAGAGGAACCCTTGAGCAGAAACCCTAACATGCTCGCTCCGAAGAGGGGCCAGCAGGGCTCCCCGCCAGTTCTGCGGGGGCCGCTGGCAAGACACACACACACCACAGTCCCCCCCCCCGGGCAACCCATAAGGGGTGACTGCGGGCGCTCTTCTCTCCTTGGCCCGCAGCCTTCCTCCTCGCTCTTCTCTCCTTCACGGGCCTCCCGACAGCGACGCTCTTCCCGCTCTACGTGGCTGTGGTGAGTGATGAGGTGGCCGGGCCCCACTTTGGCCGAGGGAGGGGCAAAAAAAATGGGTGTGTGTGTGTTTGTGCTGCAGGTGCTATCTTGCAGCTGGAAGGAACCTACCTGAAAGTCAAATGTGCTACCAAGGGGGGAGGAGGTACAATACAGAAGCAGCCACTAGTCCTGGGGGGGCCGTGGGTGGGTGTGCAGGGACCTGCACTTCCTGCAGCAGAAGGCCCTCAGGGGACCCCTCCCAGGTTAGTGGCTGCAGACACAACTCNGGGGGGGGGGGGGGGGGGAGCAGGAGCAGCAGCTGTGGGAGTCTGGTGTGTGTCTGAGAGTGTGTAAGTACACAAGACCAGCTCCTTCCCAGCCATTACCATCACACACACACACACACACATGCCGCCTCTCTTGTTGCCCCCCCCAGGCGCTCACGGTCTCCCTCCAGGGCCTCCTGCATAGCCTGGTCTACGGCTGGCTGCGCCAGAACTTCCGTGGGGAGGTGACCGGGGAGGAGCTGCCCTTGCGCTGCCCCCCGGATCTCAAAGCCTTCTACGACGACTCCTTGGCCACGTCCACCGAGGGATGAGAGGCTCCAGCTGCACCGGCCGGCCGGGGAGAGCAGCGTCCGACGGGTGTCCAGAGAAGGCAGGAGGGAGGCGGCAGCTCTCCGGCCGGCTATTCCCACCAGCCCCCCCCCGTCATCCCCGGAAATATCACCAGATGGGACAAGTGAGACTCAGCGCTCAGCAGACGGTCAACCCCTGAAGTGTTCTTTGCAAATATCAGAAATAAAAATAAAACAGCCTGGCCCTTGCAGGAGGAGGAAACTGGCTGGAGGCTGCCCCCTCCCCCCCCGCTCTACTTTGATACCCATGCCCTGCACATCAGGAAGGCATGATTCAGCTTTCCAGGCCAAAAGCTAGTGGCAGTGGCTCATCCTGCACATCCATCCGCTGAGACTGACAGATGATGGAGTGAAGTCTCGGGACGACCCACCAGCAGAACAGGCCCCAACGAGGCTCCTTTTCCCCCTTTGTGTCAACCTGACAAATTTTCTAAAGTGTCTAATAAGCTGGAGCCAATTTCACAACAACAGTCAAATAAAAAAACAACCCTTAAAATTTACTGTTACTGGTATGTTTGCTGGTCTTTAGAAACGCCGTTTCAGTGTCACCACCTCTTTGGAAATGTCTCCAGACTCTTGAGGGCAAGGGGCAATGCAAATCGTTCCAGCACAATCTTCCACTTGAGGTCAGAGTCTTCCTTTGCTGTAACTGCAAACCAACAAAACCATTTCTCAAAATAAATTATCCATCACAAACTGGGAGACAGTAATTTTCACCTGTACGGACATCCCATGGAAGAGGAAGGCAGAGTGGGAAACTGGTCACCCTGGCCTGAGAGCTGAAAAGCATTCCTACATTGTCATCCTTGAAGGCCTCTTCTTGGATGCACATCTCAATGACAGTGTGTGTGTGTGTGTGTGTGGTCTCAATGCGTCAGAGAAGCCGAGAGCAATGCCGGTGAGGCGGCCAGGCTCCCATTACAAGCCTGGACTCCTAGCAGGGATATCTATAGTGGGATGGAATAGTAACAGTTGAGGCACCAAGCTAAGAGGCATCCACCCTCTTCAGGAATAAAAGCTGCATCAGCAGGAGGGAACAGATGATTCCAGTGGTCAGTGGGGGGTGGCTACTGGGCAGCAGTGGGAGCTGTAGGTGATGCTGATGGAGGATTTTTCACAAACAGCAGTGACACTCAGGCTAACTCTTGTTAGTACTGCGCAGAAGAAGGCAATGGTAAGCCATATATGATCTTTCTTACTGTGAAACCCTAAAATGAGTCCATCCAAAATGTAACAAGAGATAGGGCTGGAAGAAGAGACTCCCAGTTCAGAAGGCATTCAATCAGTTACTGGGAAAGAGCAAATATGAATAGTGCTGTTCCTAATGATGCAACTAAATTAAAGATGAAGTGACATCCAGTCGCTGATTACAGATATGAAAGGGAAGTCTGATGCTGCACAACACGTACAATTGGAACACACAACATGAGAAGTATGAAACTGGAAATTGAAAAATAAAAAAAAATGTAAGGTTTAAACATGGCAGTGCTTGGTGTCAGTGAACTAAAGTGGATTGGAATAGGACAATTTCAGTCAGACAACTACAAAGTGTTTTACTCAAGAAATGACAAGCTCAGAAGAAATAGAATAGCTCTAATACTGAGGCAAGATGTAGCACGGGCAGTTAGGGGCTATAATGAAGAGTCTGACCAAATAATATGCATCAGACCTCTGGGAAAACCTATCAACATAACCTTATGCAAGCATCCAGAAGGAAACCGATCACATACCGAATATACACGCATATAATGATAGGCAACTGAATTTAAAAGTGAGAAGCAAAGCAAATTTGGTTTGAAATCTTGGCTGAGGGATTGGAAATGAAGCAGTCGAATGACTCAGAAAGTTGTGTAAAGCCAGCAGTCTGTTCACTGCAAATACATGTTTCAAGCAACTGAACAGACAACTGTACACGTGGACATCACCGGATAGCCAGCAAAAAAATCAAATAGACTTTGTTACTGGAAGCAGGCAATGGAGAAGCTATATCCTCTCTGTCAAAACAAGACTAGGAGCATATTGTGATACTAGTTAATGAACTATTCATAACAAACATTAGAATAAAGTGGAAGAAGAGCACTAGAAGAACTGTAGTGCCAAAATATAATTTGAACAATATTTCTGAAGAATTTGAAATCCACCTAAGGAATAGATTTGCATTTCTAAACTCAATTTACCGAGAACCAGAATCACTGTAGATTGAAACAAGATATTAGGGAAGAATGGGGGGGGGGGAAGCCAACTTCTATAGTAACATGTTGCCCCAAAAACAAGGCAGGGTCTTATATTAAATTTTGCTCCAAAAATGCATTAGGGCTTATTTTCATGGGATGTTTTAATTTTTTCATGTACAACCATCTACATTTACTCAAATACAGTAATGTCTTCCTCTGGTTGCTGCATAATGGTAGAGGGTGTGGTTTCACTTAAGTAGGGCTTACTTTGGGGTAGGGCTTATACAACGAGCATCCTGAAAAATCATACTAGGTCTTATTTTCAGGGAAACAGAGTAAAAAGGAAAAAAACTAGATGGATGATAAATTGTTAAAGACAAGCAAGAAGCAAGTGTTATGCAGAGGAAAAGAGAACTATTATATCAGCCAAAGTAAAGAATTAGAAGAGAACAAAAGGGGGAAAACAAGATTTCCCTTTTGAGAAATCAAAGGGAAATTCAACATGAGGAATGCTGAAAGACCAAGAGGGAGGCACTGAGGCAGGACAGAATGAAAAGAGGGTGGAAACAATTTCACAGAAGACCGATGGAGGGGAGATTACTACAGACTCTGGATTTATACTATGGCAAATGGACTGACATTGAAGGCTGTAACATGTATGACCAAAGGACTGAAGAAAGGACAACTCTGTATGTATTGCTACTGCTACAATATGGCTACAATATAATTTTCTTTACTGCTCTGAATTCCATTGTCTGTCTAATTACTGGTACCTGAATTGGGCAAGCCTCTGCTGGGGCAAAGGAAAAGGCACCGCCTCATCCATAAAGCCTCTGTCGCAATTGCTAACGGATTGCATTTCAACCCAAAAGTTCCAGGCTTGGGGGAGGGTGTCTGGTCGTTTCCCCTCCCCAAGAAAGCCCAGCCATGAAAGACAGTCACTGCCTTCTCCCCACAGCCCCAGCAGAGGCCCCATGGATGGGAGAGGGTGGCCAGTGGCCAGCGAGGCTGGGAGGGCGGCCCTTCCCATTGGACCACCAGCCCGGCTCGGACCTCCCGCGGGAGGAACTGCCCACCACGCCCAGCGGAATGGGAGGGCCGACCGCAACGCCCCGGGGGGGGGGCTGCCTTTCGGAAGCCGCCTTTTGGAGCTCTCTGGACACAAAAAGTCTCCCTTCCTTCTGGCACACTTTGACTACGCAGGCACCGAATACACTCCAAGGCAGAAGTTGGCAGTGAAGCCTTTTTGAAAATCAACATTTAATGGTTTTCTCTCGGGAACATAAAATAGTCACTGCACAGCAGCTGCACGCACGTGCGCGTGCACACACACACACACACAAGACAACCAAGGGAGGGTTGGTCCCCTCCCCTCTCCATGTATGGGCCCAGGAAAGGTGACAGCCAAGGGAGGGTTGGTCCCCCCCCCTCTCCATGTATGGGCCCAGGAAAGGTGCCTTTCAGGGCAGCCGAAGACCCCCGCCCCGCATTCCAGAGAGACTGGACAGGGAGGGGCCGCCTGAGACTCGCCCCCTCCAAGATACGGAGAGACGCACAGAGAGAGAGAGGCACCCGCAACCCAGCGGGCCAGAGCGACCACCGGCGGCCTGCCTCGGGGGCCAAGTCCAGGGCCTCTTACTGGTGACACAGGACTGCCTGGAGATCCTCGGGCAGCGAGCCAATCATGGTGGTGATGTCCTGGCCCACACGCAGCAGCGTCTCGTCCTTCACCGGCAGGTGGTGGCCCTTGGCCCTCGCCTGCAAGAGGGAAACCCGCCGGGAAGCAAGAATGGCAAACGGTGGGAGAGGCAGGAGGGGCTGCCGGCTGGGGGCGGCCCACGGTCGATCGCCTGCAGAATCCCAGCTGCACAAACCACCAGGGAATGCTGAGTGTTCAGGGCCTTCCCAAAAAGAAAACCTCTCGGCTCAAGTTCTCAGGTTAGGGACACTGAACCCGTGAGATCAACAAGAAGCAAACTCTTGATTAGTTTTGCACACGCGGGGACATTAATGGGCCACCAGGGCAACGCAGGGTGGATCCAACCGCCTGGAGAAGGACCCTCCCCCCCCTCAGGCACCCCAGTGGCTGGCCAAAGACAACCCCCCACTTGCCACGAAAAGGCCATCAGAAGGAAGGCGCTCAAGCTCTTTGCGCCCCCACTCCTGGGTAGGTGCTGGGTAGGGCCTGGCACCCGTTCCGTTTAGGGAGAGGGCCTGGCAGGGCACCATCTAGAGGGCAGCAGCAAATGGACCGCCCTGAGGCCAACGGGTGGGCGCAGCAACCGCACAGGTAGCTCACCAGCTTCTCACGGAGCTTCAACACCAAGTCCACGATTTCCACCTCGGATTTCTCCTTCATCCAGGCCTTGACGTTCTGGAAAAAAGGGCACCAGATGGAGAGGACGTGACCCTCGACTCCTCTCCCTCAACTGGAATAGGGCAGGAGGAAGCTGGCTGTGGCCTGCTCACTGCTGGGGCCAGCCCTCCACAGTGGAGATGGGGTGCCCTTGACCCCCCCCCGAAGAGGTTTTAAGGTGGTGGCACCCAAACCAGGCAACATCAGCCCAGCCCAGCCCAGCGATTGGGACCCTTGGCCATCCCCTCTCCGTGTAGGACTCCCTGGCAAGGGAAGGTGGGGGCAGAGCAACTGTGCTGGCCGGGGAGAGGCTCAGAGGCATTCCCGAGAGATCAGGGGGCAGTTCAGGCACCAGCAGCTTTCCCAGCTTAAGGGAGCAGCCGGTGGGGTGGGGTGGGGCTGCTTGACGGAGGATGAGGTTGAGTGGGATGCTGTGTCTGGCTGGTCAGAGCTGCAGGCACGAGGCCGCCCCTCTTCCCCCAACTGAGTGTGTGTGTGTGTGTGTGTGTGTGTGTGTGTGTGTGTGTGTGTGGAGGGGGGGTTCCTCTACGGGCTACCCCTTCCCTCCGGCCTCCCACATACCGCCTCACAGATGGCCTCCAAATGCAGTGCCTCCAGTTTGTGCATCATCTCCCTACGCCTCTGGCGATACCAGCCATCAAAGTTGGGGGACCGGAAGAACCGCCTGCCAGGCAGACCCGGGAAAGAGAGAAGGGAAGGTGGTGAGGCACCTGGAGAGGGAAGCAGGAGCACCCGGGCAGACTCTAGCAAAAGATAGGCCATTGTGATTGGATTTCTATACCGCCGCTGTTGGCGTCTCACAACCATCGCAGGAATGAAATAACGTAATCAAACACATTAATAACATATATTCAACAAATATTATGGTGAGGGTTAACAAAAAAAAGGCCAAGAACTGCCCCACTTGCTACTGCCACTAAACCATCCCTCTGGGCCTGGGAGCTCAGCTGGGCCTCCAGCCAGAAACTGTAGGAGGAGGAGGAGGAGGAGGAGGAAAAGGAAAGGCGGCTTGGCCTGGGTGGGTGGGTGTCTCAGCCAGAGGTGGAGCAGACCTCTGTGGGGCCAAACCTCTGTCTGTGTGGGGAGATGGGAAGGAGGGGCCTGTGGCGTCCAGGGAGAGCCGCTGAAGGGCCTGCAGAGACCGAGGCCGTTCCACCCCCGGGGGGGGGCGGCGGCACTTCTGACTCCCTCTGGTTCAAGCAGAGACAGCCTCTGCCCCTGCCGCCTCCTCCTCCTCCTCCTCCTCCCGTTCTAGGTTCTCTGCCACGTCCTCCTTTGGGCAACCCTTTTGAGGCTGGGAGGCTAGACCGAGGTGGAGACTGAGCCTCTCGGCTGCTCCTCCTGCCCTCTCTTTCCACCAACTCCTCCTCCTTTGGGGAGGGGAGGGTGTTGAGGCCCCAGCTTGTGCCTCTTCCTGATCCAGAGCTACCCGCGTTCGGGGGGCGGAGCATTTAAGCACACCACCCACCCCCTGTGGCACCTGCTCCCATGGCTAGAACCCCCTCCCTCCCTCCCTCCTACCCTTTTCGTCTTCTGGTCTACCTGTAGAGGCCCATCCAGTCCCCCTTCAGCACGCAGGTGAGTTGAGGCCCAGCGTGTTCCAGGGTCTTGAGAAAGTCCTCTTGCTACCCGCGTTCGGGGGGCGGAGCATTTAAGCACACCACCCACCCCCTGTGGCACCTGCTCCCATGGCTAGAACCCCCTCCCTCCCTCCCTCCTACCCTTTTCGTCTTCTGGTCTACCTGTAGAGGCCCATCCAGTCCCCCTTCAGCACGCAGGTGAGTTGAGGCCCAGCGTGTTCCAGGGTCTTGAGAAAGTCCTCTTGGTGGAAAGGGCGGATCTGGGGAGGGTTCTGTCTCAAACGGGGGGGGGGAACATAGGCACACAATGCAGATGCAGAGAACTGGGGGGGGGGATGCCAGGTGTGCAGAGGGCAGGGCAGCAACAGGTTCAGCCCAACCCTACAGTACGAAGGCCTCTCTCTTCCTCTGAGGGTCACCTGGGCCAGAAGACCCAATCCACCGGGGGAACAGAGTGCAGAAAGCAGCTTCCTTTCCTTGCCTTTGCTCTCCATGCAGAAGGACCGCCCCCCCCAGGGCCTCCCCGGGACCTGGAGCCTGCATTCAGCCTGGGCAGCCACCTACCTTCCACGGGGTGATTGCCCTCTGGAGAGGCATGAGGCTGGCCATGTAGTGCTCCTGGGAGGAGGAAGAGGAGGAGGAAGGTCAGGGGGTGGAAAGCTTTGTGGATGTAGGCACAAGGCCCCCACCCCACCTGTGCGCCCGTGTTTGGGGAGGGGGGAGGTGAGGCCACCTGGACCAGGGACCTCGCCGGCCCAAGGAGAGGAGAACCGCTGTCCCCAGGGGAAGAGGGGCTCCGTCCCTTCGCCATCCTGCCCGAGGCCCAAAAGGACCTCCTCCCGCTAAGCTGCTCGGAGGAGAGCAGCCACCTTGGGGGAAGGGGCAGGCAGCCCGATGCCCAGCTCCCACAACTCACCAGGGGGATGATGAAACTCTGCGTGAGCTCCAGGAGGTGGCGCCTCAGGAGGGCACTCTGGGCCTCGGAGGAGCGCTTCTTGTGGATGCCCTGCGGGACAGACAGAGCGGGGGTGGGTGGGATGCACGGCGCCGCACAGACCGCAGGGGTGAGTGCACCCCCCCCCGCTCTGGCGTCAGAGCACCTCTGCTGGCCGAGGAAGGCCTCTGAGCTCATGCCAGCGAAGGCCTGGCCTTGGGCTGTGGGGCAAGGACTGGAGAGACCTAGTCAGTCCCCCCCACCCGCCTCAGGTCAAAGACTTTCCCTCTCTCTCTCTCTCTCTCTCGCACACACACACACAACCTTCCCCAGCTCGCATAGTAGCCCGGATGGGGACTAGGTGGCAAGAGAGGTCCTTTGGGGGGGGTGTTCACTGCAGGAAAAGCATGACCCCTCGGGGTGGGGGTGGGGAGGGGGTTTGGCTCAAGCAGACCCAAAGGCAGGGGACGCGAACTGCATCTCCAGGCCCTCCTCCTCCTCCTCCTCCTCCCCCACACCTCAGAGTGCAGAACAGGAGGTGCCGCCTGGACTTCCTTCGGAAGGAGGGCGTCCCTCCTCTCAGGCACCAGGGCTTCCCCTGCTCAGGGGGAGAACTGCACCGCCCTTCGCCAATTCTGGGTCTCTCTGTGGAAGGGCACTCCGTCTGAACCACCTTCCCCAATGGCTCAAGGCCCCCCGCCCGCCCGCTGCTGGGGGGGGGGAGCTCGAGCGGTGGGCCTTGTCTGGCCAGCAGAGGCTCCCCAGTGAGCTGTCTTTGCCCTCGGAACGAGACTGAAGGCACCGAGGAAAGTGCTGCTTCGCAGCCAGGAAAGGCGGAGAAGACACTGCCTCCCTGGGGGGGGGGGGGCAGGGATCCCGCTGCGGCAAATGCGTCAGATCTGCCCCAGTCCGTTTGTCTGCCCCTTTTCTGCAACCCACAAGTCCATATCTCTCCGGATGGGGGTGGAGAGGCTGGATGGACGCAAAGCTGGCTTCTCACACGCTAAGATGAAACTGCTGTAGCTGGAGGGAGGGGTTCTGACCCGAGCTGGGGGTGGGGGCCGTGCCCTTTTCCTCCTCTCTCTTGGCCGGCAGCTCTGTATCCCTTGTGTCAGGCAGGGCCAGTGCTGAAGGGAGCTCCAGTCCCAGGATGGCTGGATGGCTCCCGGCAGCGGGCAGCCCTGGTTTCCTTCTGGGTGGCTGGCAAGGCCAGACGGCGCACGGGGGGGGGGAGCCGATCCCAGGACCAGCCTAGGAAAGGCCCCAGACCCACAGTGGAAGACTGAGGCCCTGCCTGCCTCCGCTCACGGCCAGGTCACTCCCAGGTGCAAAAGGCCACTCACTCTTGGAGGCCCCACGGCTGCTATGCCTGGGGAGGGGTGCAGAAAAGGGACAAACAAGCATGCTCAGGGGCCCAAAGGCCAGACCGCTGGGCAATCTGGGTGCAAAAGTGTCAGTCGGACTGGAACCTGCCCTAAGGCCAGGCAGACGGAGACGGGGGGGGGGCCGAGGGCTTCTGATCCACAGGACTAGCACTGAACCCCAGGGCCACCTCTTTCACACCACAAGGGAAGGGGGCAAGGGAACATTTACCTTTAGAAGCCTCTTGATCAGAGCCTTGTCCTTGCTCAAGAACCCTCTGTACGACGTGTAAAGGCCTGGAGCAACACAAGAGAATCAAGTGGCTGTGGAGGAAGGACAGAAGGCTGCCTGCCCAGGTTGTCAAGGCATCCAGGCCAGCTTCAGGACAGGCTGGTGCATCAAGGGATCCTCCAGCCAGATTGGAAGGACAGGCACAGAGGAGGTCCCCGAGTCTGGCCCCCGTGCAGGGCTTTCTGCACACAGTTATGAGAAAGCAGCTCCACAACCCGGGGCAGCTTTTCATCCAACTAGTTTCTGTCTGAAATGGGGGACCAGCCTCCCAGCTGCAGGGAGAAACCAGCCACTACCTGAAGATAAGAACTCCAGCTGGTCCTTACCTGGCTTGGCATCCAGTGTTCGAAGTCTGGTGACTTTCTTCAGCTTCACCTGTTTGGGCAAGTCCCCTGTGTAGAAAAGGAACAGGCTGGCTGTGGCTTCTCTCTCACCTGCCCCAGAGACCTGGCTCATTCGGAAGCCCCCTCTGCAAGGGGAAGCAGATGGCGCTGCCTATGCTATCAGTGGCAGAGGGGGAGCCGAGCCCTTCCCAGCCTGTAGAGAGAGCCTCTGCTTTCTCCAGTCTATCCGCAGGAGCCACCTCTCCACGGGAAAGTGGCAGGACTCACAGGTGAGGCCTTGAATCCTCCCACCCGTGGCCACCCCTTCTCCCAGGTAGCCTGCCTGGCCCTCCCCAGGACATCCACGGGCTGCAGGGAGGGGATCCGGAGCACCGCTCACCGGCCATCTTGAGCTCCCCGAGACGGAGAACGTGGGGCCAATGCTGGAGCATCTTGATGAAGAAGGGATTTGTGACACCAAGGATGACGTTGGGCCTGAAGGAGCCGCAGCAGCAGGTGGGGAGAGCAAAGAGGCCTTTTTCAGCAGGAGGCAGCCCCTTTTTTCCTTCCGCCCTCAGCCCGAGCTAAACCACCCGAAGGATACTTACGGGGCCTGGGTCCGCGTGGTATACTCCTTGAACTCACTGTCGTGAATGGTGAAGTAGGGGCGGTAGTCGCAGCAGTACTTCAGGGGAGCCAGGCAGCTGCAGGGACAAGCAGGCAAACCCCCCCCCCGTACTTAGGAGGAGTGGTTTGTCCCGCTGTGCCTCCTTGGAGAGGACAAGAGTGCCCCCCCTCCAGGGCCCTGCTTGGCTATCAGGAAGGCTCCCTCTCCAAAAGCACTCACAGGGCTGCGGGCTGGGGCAAGGCGTGCGTCCTGTGCCCCCCCTCCCCGGCCAGATGGCTGTCAAGCAAGCCTGATACCTGGTCAGGGCAAGAACCATCTCCGAGGAGACCGCAGGTGAAGGAGCCACCACGACGAGGGGCTCCCCCAGCAGCACCAGCTCCCACAGCATCTGGATGTGGATCAGCACCGGCTGGAAGCATCTGTCAAGAGGCCCAAGGGAGAGGCGGGCAGGTGGGAGGGCGTCTGAGGATCGGAAGGAGCAGCCCCAGCCGACAGGAGGTTCCCCACCTCCTGTCCAGTCCCCCCTCCCAGACCATGTGCATGCCTTCGTTCCGGGAGTGTGGTTTGCATGCCACTTTTCTCTCCGCAGGGGACCCATGGTGCCTCCCCAACAGTGGCCCAAGGCAATCAACACGCCGTCCGTCCCCCCCCCCTGCACCCCGGCTGGGTCTTGCAAAGCTTCCACCAAACAGGCGAGAAGACTCACAGGACAAACCAACTCCCCAGCTAAGAAGAAGAGTTCACAGGAAGAGGCCCCCAACGGAGGCAGCCCGTTCCTTTGCCTCCTTGCCACGGCTGAGCACCCCCAACATCCCTGGCCCTGGGAGGCAGGATGGACCCAGACCTTGACCCCTCAGACAGCGCACAAGAGAACAGCCTGATCCTTGAGAGCAGGACTTCCCAGCCTTGGGCAACCCAGGCTTTCTTGGGCTGCAGTTCCAGGAAGCCTTCCCCACCCCCCACCCCGCTGGCCAGGGTTCCTGGCAACCACGGTCAAGTATGGCTGGGAAAAGAGACCTCCTCCTCGTTCCCCGCCCTCCGGGCCTTGGCCTCCTGCCCTGGCTCCCTCCAGGAGTCTGCATTCTTCCCCCTTGCAGGACAGCCTGTTGGACTGCTCTCATGGGCTTCGGGGAAAGTGCCTCCCCAGGAATGCATCGGGAAAAGTGCAAGACAAGACTGCTCTCCTCCCCCCCCGCCTCAAAACACGCTTGGAAAAGTCACAGAGTCAGATTTATGGCACAACCAGTGCCTCCTGCCCCTCTAAACCTCTGAGGTGGCTGAGATCTCGGGATGCAGGCTTTTCCATTTCCTTTCTTTTTTCAAACCGGGGCTATAAAAATGATTCCAAAGCGTAACAGAAGGATGGAGACTCTGCCCCAAATCTGGACCTGCACAGGCTCAGTGACCCCGAAAGCCTTGAAGGAAGAAACCACTTCTCAGCTATTCTTCAACATTTCTTTCTTTTCCGTGTCCTGTTTTAAACTCCTCCGCCCGTAAATGTTTTCCCCTTTTCATTTCCGTCTGGCCTTTCTCAACCCAACCACTGGCTTTCACTTTACTACCAACACTGCTGCCTGAGGATTCACTCACTGGGGGCAGCAACAACTCCCCCCTCCCCCCCGCCCTGGCAAAGGCAGAGAGCTCACCTGAAGAGGTCTAGTTCGTAGACGCTGGGGAGCACAAGCGGAGCTGGCAAGAGGTTCTAAAGAAAGGGGAAAGAAAGGTGCCACCGCTTGGCTAGAACCGCTCAGTGCCTCCCACCCCAGAGCGGGCCTCAAACGACGCCTCCCAGCCCAAAGCAGGAGGACCCGTGGGGGCCGCCCTCCCAAAACGCCCTCAAGAAACATGCCAGCGATTGTGGGACGCCAGGTGTTCCAGGCGACCGCTGGGAGGTATGCTGGCCACAAGCTTGCAAGCCCACTGTTGCTCAAGCTACACTCCCGAAGAGGGACCAACAGCTAGAAGGTCAGGTGACCAGCCCCATGCAGCAAAGGAAGCCCCACACAGGCCAGGCGTCTGTCTGCTCTAGGAGAATCGCCTCTACCGGCTATGGCTGGGGACCTTAAACGGATGCAGGCTGGTGCTGCAGAAAGCAAGCAGGAGTCGGGCCCTCCTTTTTCTGCCATTTTTTCCTCACAGGAAGCCCAAGCCCTCTTGAAAAACACTTCAGCAGAGCACGGTGCCCCTGGCGGTGCTTCCAAGCATTGGGGGGTGGGGATTATTTATTTATTCATTTATTCACTTATTCATTTATTTATTTAGACTTTTATCCCGCCCTTCTAGACGATGTCTACTCAGGGCGGGTCACAATAAAATCATTCGTAAAACAGTTAAAAGAATAAATTAAATTGACATATTAGTGTTGATCAAAATGGGAAAACAGACAAAAAACTAAGTAAAAGCAAAAGTCAAGTCTTGACAGGAGGGAAGTCCAAGTATTGACGCAGGAACCCAGTCCCTGCGTTCCACCTGCCACAGCTTGGCTCTGCAGCCACAGCAGATGTAAGAAGAGCCAGGAATGCCCAACTGAGGTCCCTCGCAGGATCTCCACAGGTTCCTCTGCAGCATCACCCCAGGAGGCGGCAGTGGTGGCAGAGCCCTCTGGCCTCGCCCCCCCCCCACACCCCACACGTCCTCTGTGCTCTCTGTTAGACAAAAGAACTTCAGGGGGAAAGAGAGGCTCCTACCTCCTGATTCACTGGCTTGACGGGGCTGCAGCCTGGCTTGTCCACCCGGGAAGGGATCCTAGCCTGCACCACAAGCAGCAACACACACCATCACGGGTGGCTTTTCCCAGACGTGTCCCCTTCCCCTCTGCGCCCTTGGGAGAGAAGGCCTCCCCAGCAGGTACCTACCTGAAGGACAACACCCATCACTGGAAGATTCAGCGTCTGGCCGGGCACAGGAGGGGGCCACTGGTCCATCTCACTGCAGACTGAAGGAGGCCAAGAGGCAGCCAGTGGGGGCATTCTTTTTGCTACACCTGGGGCTCCCCCGGCTCCCACGGCTCAAGCTCCAGCCCCTCACTCCCACCCGGGCTGCTCCCAGAGCTACACAGACCAGCCAAACGACCTTCTCTGCGTCGCAGAGCCTCCCCCGCCCTCCTTCTCCCCTTGGTGCCCTCATGGCTCATCCCTGTTTCCCAACCTCTTTGACCATCTCTCCTTCAAAAGAATTTGCTGCTTTGCCAGCCCCACAGATGGCACCGCTGAGCTGGCCTCCATTCAGAGGCCTGCATTGCACGTTTCTCTCAGAAGCAACCACGTCACGCCTCCACGGTGCAGAGAAATGGTTTCTCACCTGCCTCCAGGCACGGGTCCAGCTTGTCAAAGTATTCGGGGGCAATGAGCTGCAGGAGACACTGGAAGAGATTCACGTAGGGGAGGCGAGACACCAAGACTAAGGACTGAAAGAGAGATAAGAGTTCCCAACCAGGACCAGAAGCCCCAAAGCCGAGGCTAATGCAACATCCAGTTTCTCTCTCAGGGCCGTGCCATAATGCCACAAGCCTCCTTCTCTGGTGGGCACCCACACAGCCAGAGGAGATAACCGAGGAGCACAACCTATGACGTAGCAGCATCCCACAGCCCTCGGGACACTCGCCGTTCACTTTGCTTGATGCAGCCAGGCAGCGACACACCCACACCCAGAACCCCCTTGGTGACCTCCTTTCAAAGGAAGAGCTCCAGCAATGCAGAAAGAGAGAGAAGAGGAGATCAGAGGTTACAGTACAGCTCTGCCTTGCAGTTGCCTCCTGCCACTCACCTTCTGGAAGTAGCCCCTTTTCACCGAGCTGTCCTTAACTTGCCGGAAGTACACGTAGCCGAAAAAATGAGCAGGCTCTCGCTGGATGGGAGAAGGAGATGCATCTGTGGGAGTCCCACACACACAAACACACACTCGCCACTTTCAGCATGGGTGCTGGATGCCATCATGGCACCACAGCCACGGCTGAGGAGTTGAGCAAACAGAGGCAACACACACACAGCTTGGCCTGGGCACCATCCCATAATGGGCAGATGCTTTCACCCAGGGAAGACTTTGGGTGTTTGGGATTTGGGCCACCAAGGAGTCTCAGAAAACAACAGGAGAACTGTGGGGGCTCTCCACCTCACCATCCCTGGCGTGAAAGGAATTGTCCCCCATCCTCCTTTCTGTCTCTTTCCCAGGACGGGACCTCTAGACTAGTTGGACCCCAAAGAACACTTTTAAGAAACGCTTCCACCTGGTTTTCAGAAGGATTATTCCCAGAGACCACAGCTTCTGCGATGACAGACAAAAATTCAGACCCCAGCCAGCTTCCCAGCTAGCTCGCTGGCTAAGCTAGAATTTGCCCTTGATTCAGAGGATGCTGTGAAACTGACCTGTAATGCTACCGGGGCTTCCTTGTTGTATTCAAAGTCATCCCCAAACAAAGCGCGCCTCTGTCCCCCCGACTGTCGGAAGCGGAAGCTGAACTGAGTGTCTCCTAGGCTGCCTGGGACAGAGAAAGGCAGGGCGTGAAGACGAGGAGGGGAAGGTGGGGAGAGCAAGCAGAAGGCGCAAAGCAACTGGCAACTCAGGCGCAAGAGAGGCAGGCAGACAGATTCCCTGGGTGCAAACATCCCCTCCCGGTGGCGCAGCAACGGAAAGCGACTGCTCTGGGCAACAGCGCAAGCACGAGCCTGCGAACGGACAGTCCTTGAACCACTTTCTCCCACTGCCTACCCGCCTCCCAGCCTTGAGCTGCTTCCTGAGTCTCTGCCCACCCCATAGACAAGCTGGGACTGGCAGGGCAGTGGGGCTGCAGCCAGGAGGGCCAAAGGCTGGGACCTTCTGAGGAACTACAGCTAGGGCATCACCCACTCACCCACCCCCTCCACCACCGCTGCTGGTGCTGCCCTCCTTCCTTGGGGTTCAGCTATCCTCCTCTCTGCAGCTGGGAGAGACCCCCTTTTTTCCAGGGGCCCCATATTGTTACACAGCGCTTTGGGGGCAAGGCAAAGACCTCTCGGATGGTCTGGAGTGCCCAATGAGGAGCCGTTGGCTTTGCAAAAGCCCTGCCCGCCCTTGGCCAGGAAGTCAGGTCCGGTCCCTTCAGGAGCCTCCTGTTGGACACGCGGGGGGGGGGTCACCATCTAGAAGAGCCCCGGTGCTCACCCTCGATCCCCTCCGCCGCCGGGCAAGGCTAGAGGGGGGGGGAGGGAGGGAGGAGGCCCCGATCCCGCTGCCCCTCCCGAGCCTTCCTACCTGAGTAAGAGTCCGGGAAGGAGAGGTAGCAGATGCTGCTCTTCTGCAAGACACAACAGCCCCGCCAAGGAGGCCGTCAGGGAGGGGTGTCCCGCGCGGCCCCCACTCCCCCTCGATCCCCTCCGCCGCCGGGCAAGGCTAGAGGGGGGGGGAGGGAGGGAGGAGGCCCCGATCCCGCTGCCCCTCCCGAGCCTTCCTACCTGAGTAAGAGTCCGGGAAGGAGAGGTAGCAGATGCTGCTCTTCTGCAAGACACAACAGCCCCGCCAAGGAGGCCGTCAGGGAGGGGTGTCCCGCGCGGCCCCCACTCCGCGTTCGGGGGAGGGGAGGGAGAAACAA